GCACCTAAATCTCTTGGGGTGGTCGGGGTGATGGAATCACTAGTACTTGGGCTTTTCCATGCCTAAATCCCTACAACGTAGTATTTTCTATTTTAAAAAGTTTTAGACATATCTACTATTTATATGCAAACAGATACTACTATATAGAGAATATAAAGTATATGTAATATATGGCTATTATATATGCTATAAAGTTAAATATACACACTACATATAGTAACTATATAAGCTAGTATTTTTATATATATGTATAAACACACATACATAAAATATGTATTAGTGTAGTAGTAGGGTTTGGTTTGGGTTTGGGTTTTTGTGGGTTTGGGGTTTTTTTTTCATTTTTATACACACACAAACATATAAAAATAGCAGCTTTCAGCCTGTTGCCAGAACAGAGCCACTATCTGGGATGACTGAAAAGAAAATTAAAGTTTGGATGGGGTATCTGCTTGCAATCTTTGATTGCATCTCAGATCTTGCTCAAGCCAGTCCTCCGTGGAATCCCAGGCAGGAGGCAGCACGTCACTCTGGCATTTCAGAATGAAAACATCAGATTTAGAAAACTGCAGTGAAAAGGATTTTGGTTGTAAGACCCGTACTGTGGTACGCACATTCTCCGGCCTTGGATTCCTAAGCAATTTTGTTACTGCCACAAGTGAAAATTAATCTAAGCCTTATTCTGACTCATCAGGTAGCTTGTCAACAGCTTACTGTCAAAACTGTCACACCGCTTAAAACTAAGGAATGAGTCAATGTTTCTAGGGAGAATCAGAGTTATCTAGCTTCCTTTTCTCAAAAAGCCAGGACCAATTCAAAGGGAGAGAGAAAAAAGAATTAGTAAAAAGCAAATAGGTGCACTGTTCACTAAACTACAGCAAATCCTGAAGGAGAAGAAAATAGTTAAAATAGCCTCCCACTGACAAAAAAATTAAGTCACCATTCCCATAAAAAATGCCCATAGAGATGGGACTGAGTAGCACTACCATGAGGGAATTTTCAGAGGCTCAAAGAGCTGGACCTCTGTCAGTCAGGGCTGGCCAAATTCACAAATGCTCAAGTGCCACCACCAGTTGTTTCTCCCAGTTACATGGCTCTGGAAGTTTTTTTACCTGAAAGCAAATCAAACTGTGCTGTAAATAGACTGAAACCCTGAAGTGACATTTCCATCTGTTCTTTAGCAATACACAATCTACAGAGAAATTTTCATTCAAAGATACACAAACACAAATTTAACATATTACAATATGTAAGGTGTTTTTACCAAGTAATAACTGGTTCAACAATACTAATAACGCCTCAAGTGATGTGTGGCATGAAAAAATAAGGAGTATTTTTGTCACATCATGTAATAATTACCAAAATACACACTGCCTATAAAATTATTCAAAAGTACATGAACTCAGAACAGTCATAAAATAATCATTCCCCACAGTAAGAATGAAAGCATACTCTGTAATTTCAGTATGGAAGACAGATATGTTATTCATACAGTTTTCAGCATGGCTCGAATCGAAGCATGCAGGCCTGGTGCAACACATTATATAGATGGCCTAACAATCTAGTAATTGAGCCTATTTTTATTACACACAGAATAAAGTGTTAGTGCTCTTCCATTTGGGGCCATTAGCAAAACACTTCCTTGAATTCCTCAGAAATGAAATGAAAACTAATGAAAAAAAAAATCTTCTGATAGATCTGTGCTCTTGCTACTCAGCTGTAAAATATTAACAGAGCTACATATTTTGTGCACTACATTTAAAATCCTTTAGAAGCCAGCATGACTGGTTTGAATGCTCATAATGAAATTTTTAACCCAACAAAAACCCAAGTGAAAAGTGCCTGAAAAGCAAGCCAGATTCTAAATCACTTCAAAGATGAAATTTCCAAAAGGAATTATGTATGACTAATGTGCTCAAAGCTATGAAAAAGAATAATTTTCACATGCATGCTTCAATTTTATAAGGTTCTCTTAATCTTCCATTTTTCATTTCTAGTATCATTATTCCTGTAAGTGCCAGAGACACACAGCTTTTCAAACTATATTATCCACCTTAAATATGTTTTGCTAATTCCTTCAATGTAGTTTCAGGAACGTTGCTTCCTTGCATAATCACATTTAACATCATGGAACGATATATTTTGTAGTGTGCACAAAGCAGGTCATACAAATACTCTTGGGTGAATAAAAAGATTTTGTCAGCCTGACCCAAAGCCTCCCAGAATCGGTAGGAAAACTCTACTAGAATTCAGTGAGTTTTCAATCAGCTCAAAACAACAAAACAAAATACACACACAAAACAAACTGAGAACACAAGTATCAGGAGGACTTATCTTAAACAAAACATATATAAATATATATATATATTTACCTTTCTTCAGCTGCTGGTGACATTCCTCTAGTTTCTGACGAGTCAACTTGAAGCGATCGAGAAAACCGTTCAAGCTTTCCTGAATGAAGTTAGGAGGCGCAGGCTGAGAGGTGAGTGCCTTGCAGGTGGCTTTCAGGTGTTCCAAATGTGGACTCAGGCTTATGAGATGAGTTAACTCCCGCTATGAAAGATTAAAAACAAACCCAAATCTCACACTTGCTTTGTTAACACAAAGATTTTAGTAAGCTACTGCAGCACAGCTCCTCCACATTACTAGGGCAACAACGTTAAAGTACTGCTGTGACTCAGGTATCAAAATCTTCCAGTCAAATCAGGTGCCCTGGCTGCCTCAAAAATTTTGAGTTACCTTACTGACTAGGCTAAGCTCCTCTGGGATATATCCTGCGTTCCTAACAGTTTCCAATCAAAATTGACAAGTTTTGCCAGACTTACCTGGCATAAGTCTTTCAGGACTGCTGAGGGCTGGAATGCTGAAGAAGCGTCATTTTTAAGCCAGTCATCCTTCTCAATTATAGTCTTCTCAAGCTCGCTCATTTCCTTAAAATAAGCATTTATATCTTCCTGGTACTTTATCTTTCTGGCCACTTCTTCCAGATGTTGAACCATATCTTTCCACCCTGACAATATTTTCTCCATCACAGTTTTTATATCCACTGTAGAAAGACCCTCTAAAAAGATTATATAAAATATTGTTATATTCATTGCCATGCATTTTAATTAACAGGCATTTAATCTCTCCTTTCTTCAGAGACAGGTGCACCTTTGCATTAACAAGCAAAATGCTTTGATTCCAAGTCCACTATCCGTAAAACTGTACTAAGTGTTTCAGCTTTTTATTTCCACATTAATAGTAAAATGAAGAGTGAGATATTCCACTTCCATTCTTTCCCTTTGGTAACTTTTGATTTTATAACAGTGAGCTGACTCTTGACCATCGTGACTCTCTTCATCATGATTTGTGTCTAAATGTTGATATGCGGATTTAAGTAAAGTAAGCTTTATTTAATTAGGCTTCCAGTGAATTTATTTTTTCTCCATGGAGAAAAAAGGGAAGCAGTAAGTTGGAAGGCAGCACTAAATTCATTGAAAAGGTAGCTGGAAATCCTGTTGGCCTGGGAGAGAGAGAGAGTAATGGCTAACTCTCGCATTGCATGCAGACATGATTAATAACTAGATAATATGAATAGCTACAAAAGCAACACGACAAAACACAAAGTTATTTCCCACTCACAGTGACTACACGAAGCACTTGCTACACCATCTTTTTGACAAATCAGTGCATCACTTGATGCAGGAGCAGAAGCGAATAGACCTCCCACTCATTCTTTGTTCTTTTATTTCCTCAAGTGCCAGAAGTAACTGACAATTTTGCAATATATGAAGATATTTCAGTGCAATGTGCATTCAACAGTACACTCTTGCCATTGCAAGTTTCTGACGCAGATTCTCTTTCAGGGTACCACCTGCTTTATATAAGGCATATTTGGATCATTTGAACTTAACAGTTCTGTCATTTAGATCAGGGTATAAGGAGATTCACATGGAGGGGGTTTTTGCTGCACTGCTTTAAGTGTAAGTGGAGCCCAGTGCTCTGGTCAGGGCAGCCAGCCAGCTTCTACAAGGGCTCTTGAAGGCTCTGTGCCGTAGATCCTCCCTGTGCTTCCCACACTGGCCATATGCTTGGCACATCTACAATGCAGAAGCACAGCAGCTCCAGTCAGCCACATAAGAGGAGGATGCACACAATGATCAGTCACTGCCATTACGGCACAGCCTGTACATGCCCCAAGATAGAAATGGATGTATGCATATGCATGGCAGTGCTGTGCATCGTTCCACACAGGTGTAGCTGGGCCTGGTTTTGGAGAGAAAGGCTGTCATTCTGAGCTGGATAAAACATACTAGCAGACTCCTAACAAAGCCAGGGGCTGTAGATTGGTTATTTTCTATAGATCCCAAATTTTAAGACAGCAAGCAATTAGGAAGCAATCTCTGTACCTTAATTTTTGCTGACCAGGTTTTGAATTATGCATTTGTCATTATGATTAACAGGTAGTGGTTTTATAGCCATGACCTCTCACAGCTGGAGGGGTTTATGAAAAGACAGAAAGGGAGGAAGGGAAGGAGGATTTCTGTCCAGGTTTGAAGACAAGGAACGGCTACAAATTTTTATAATCCAAACTCCAGGTCATATCAGTGGCTTCCAGCCACCAGCTTCAGGCACCCACAGTAAAATGCTTCAGTAGGCAAAGAGGGGAGGATTGGAGATGCTTAGCAGACTGGGGCATCCAGGCAAAGGAGCTGGCTCGAAAAAAATGTGAGAGTTGGGAAATCCAATGGAAATTAGCATTTTCCAAAAGGGATACTGGTCAGTATGCAGGACAGTGATACCATCCTTTCACCTGTCTGAATGCTACCAGTTGCAGCAACTTCACCAGAAGCCAAATGCGTAGCAGATCTAAAAGACCCTCTCTGGATGATGTGAACAGCTCTTTTAGGGAAAAAGTCACATTTCACTGATGGAGTTTTGTCATATTATGAAACAAGATTTTGGCAAGGTTTAAAGATTCAATTTTTGCTGATGTTAATTATAAGTTTCCAGGGATAAGTGTTTTAATTGACAATCAATCATTTTCTCAAGCATGTAGGCTTCTCTCCTGCCTTTGAACCATAAATTGTGACTGTATCATCAAAACATACTGACAGTTTTTACAGAAATGGAGAAAACTAAGAATAAAGAGAGACATATACACATTTATCAAGCCTAAATTTGGTTTTAGAATCTCCACTTCTTTAAAGCAATTTTATTTTAAAATTTTGTACTTAAAATCTCCACACAATTTATAATTAAACCAACTCCTTCCCCCAAAAGCATGTTACTGTCATTTTAAGAAATTATTTCTATTTCAATAAAAATAACCCTTAAAAGGTTGCAAATGAACACACACACATTAAACCAAGAATATTAATATTGCTTTTCTATAAGCTTTAATAGAAACAAAACACATATTAATAACTAGCAACAGTAAAAACGACCAGTGTCTCTGAAGGAAAGAAAATGGAGGGAGAGGGAAGGAATATACTGTGATGCTTAACTGAAGAATTCAGTATTATTTCCCAGCAACTCATCTGATTAAATCACAAAACAGAAAAACCTTCAAATTGCTTACCCTTTCCCATTTGATCCGAAAGAATATGTCCACTTCGTTTCAGTTCATCTAACTTTTGGCTTTTTTCAGCTTGCTCTTTTTCAATCGCCTACAAAGTGAACCCCAAAATAATACAGTTTCAGAGAGGTTAATTTTTCTTGACTTCCCCCTCTCCCAGTAACAGATATTTTCCCACTACTACCCAAAACACATTCCAGTTTTCTTAGATACAGCACTTTAAGATGCACATTAGTTCTGTTTGTTCAGAAAACAAATGCAAAAGGAGTTAGCTCTCACAAGTACCAGGTAAGCAAGAGAGTACAACAGCACCAGGAACAAAATATTGTTAAAAGGGCTGATGATCCTGCTATGTGAAATCAGATATTAGGACACCAGCTAAAACTAGTCACTTGTGATCAAAAATTGTAATTATTTAATGTGTACCAGGGGAGAAATGACCTTTTTTAAATACTCCCTTCTCCTCTACAGTCTCTATTGAGATTTTCAGTAGAAGGGAACAACAACCTGTGCCCTACAAGTCCAGCTAGCAAGAACTATAGCACACCAGTAATCCACTCTCATAAGCTCTAGTGCTTCACCCTGCTTCATAAAGAAATGCTGAGGGAAATCCTACGTGACTACCAAGATTTTTAGAGGAAAAAGTTCCTCCCTGAAGTCATACATATTGGTGAATGTTCCGGTGTGAGCCAAGAGGTAGAATACATCCACAGAGGAAAGATGAGTTCCTTGGCCACAAGGCCACAACTTCAATATCCTCTGTAATTACAACAAAGCATCTCCAAATTAAAATATTATCAAAACTAACATCCAGGGTCATTACTCTGATTTAGACTTGCTACAGTAAATTCAGAAGCAGCGTGCATTTATTTGCACAGACCAAACACTGTCCTACTCACTTAGAACCAAATCATTTAAAAACAGCGCTGTTCATGGGAACCTGGTGTTCATCTTGGAGCCTATTTTATAAAGGGCTACAAACATTCACAAAGACCTATAAATAAACTATCGGGAGGGTTGTTTTCGTTTTTATTTCCAACAGCACTGCCATTCCAAACATTCCTACTGGCACCATTTTGCAATACAGCACTGAGAAGGAGTCTCCTTATAGATATTTTTAAGTATTGTCTTTGATTTCAAAAGCAGGTTCAGGTCCTGCTAAAGCTCCAGTAAGCCTTTGTTAACAAAGCATGCTCATGGGAATGCATTCCTGAAACAGAAGGAATAGAAGATAAAATGGTTATATCATGGCTCCCACAGGATCCTGCAAAATTATGTATTCTGTCTAGCAGGTCAGTAATACCATACATGAGTTTTCTCCAAAATTAATAAAGCAAACATTATAACAATGGAGCACTTTGGACTCTGGGTGGTAGAGTGCGTGCAGAGTGTCACAGCATGATTCAAGGGGTCTCTGAGCAGCCCACTGGCCCATCTCTGCCCAAATTATGAAAGTGCTGTCAGTCAAGTCCGTCTCCAACTGTGAAACATGAAGCCAAAATATAATGCTTAGTAGAAAGGATACTAATCCTGAAGGCATACATTTATCAGAACTCCAAAGGAGACATCAGTAATATATATGTTTTAAAAATTTCCTGTGGATTGTGCAACCCAACACCAGAAAACGTTTGTGTCTAACTGGTCAGAGATTTCCATGTCCAGTTCTGAAACTATTTAACTAAAGGACTTAATCCTTGCAAAGCATGTGGATCAGCCCACACCTCCAGCTGACAGCCAGCTTAGAGATAAAATATACTCTTCACTGGAACATTCTCTATCTCCCCATTTTACCTTCAACTTTTCTTTCATGTTTGAAGTATCTCTCATCTTCTTGTACTCTTTGATGTCTGTGGCCTGAATCACAGATTTTGATTTTGAAATCCAGTTCAAGAGCTCAGCACTTTCAGCATCAAACCTGGTTTAAAAGGTCAGACAATTTTTTTTTGTCATTTTTCCCTATTCAGTTACTATGTCTTAAAAATCAAAAGTCTTAAAGTTCAGCACATTACTCAATCACAGAACAACAAGGCTGCACACAAGAGTCATGTTTCTCATATTCCTGTTCACAGGCAGTAGGACAGAGACAGACTTTACAAAACCTGTCATAGTAAAAATTATGTCCATGGTATTAGCCTTTGGGAGCAAATTGAGAACGCACAGTGCAATTTTTTTTTTTTTTTTTTTTTTTTAAAATACATATCTGTCTCTTATCATGTCACAAAAGAAACCTCTCAATGCTGAGTATTTTGAAAGTAATAAACTAAACCTTAGGTTTGTAATACAAATTACAGTTCTAGATTTTGTAAAAGTCTGCAACACTATTTAGTCTGAAGAAAAAACTGGCAGCTTAAGCACTCATGGCAGTGACAGTGGACAAACCTTTTTGAACACTTAGCTGACTAAAGATTAGCTTATGGTTTAATACTTTGGGATACAATTGGACGTGTCTACACTAACATAACTCTTATGCCTAAAACCTCTAAGCTACAACCCACCATCCCCAAAAACCAAACAAACAAAAAACAACTCCTGAATTAACCAACACTGTACAGAACTTGAGAGAAGGACAGGTATACTATAGAGACCACAAGTCAGGCCATATTGCAATTATACTGCTTAACACAGTGTAAATCCTAAGATGGAATAACAGCCTACCAACAAATGCAGGAGTCATTTCAGTCACTCAAAGTTTTCCATGGGAAAACCTGCAAAATTCTAGTTACTGGCCATTTGTTGGTTTCAAAATAAGTAACTGGGATCAGGCAAAAACATCAGAAATTTTAACCTATTTTAACTGACTCTGTCCTTAATAGAGTTTGCACTCTAGGAAAAAAGACAACAGATCAAATCAATTTTGCTTGCAAAGTCTAAAATAGTTTGTATGATTCATGAGACACACAGAGAGAAAGGACTGATGGGCTGCTGACCACGTTAGTGCCCTGGGACACCCACATGCACACGCTACCCCCACCAGGGCTCGGAACTCTGACCAGGGTCCTCAGGAGTGTTTGTGCAGGTGTCTCACCCCTTTAAACCTCCATTCTACCTCCAGAAAAAATGAAGAGGACAACTCTTTTTCACTGTGCAAACACACATCACCTTGCAGAGCAATGTCCTGCTCTTGACACAGCCCTCTAACCTCTCCCTAAACAACCTGCCAAAGATTTAGACTAGTGACACCTCAAAGAAATGTTCATTTTCTCAGACAAGCACAAAAAGAAAAATGATGAGTATACAGAATTTACTTTCTTAATTCATCTTGAAACAATTCCTTTAGTTTTAGGTATGCTATTTAATAAAGGCACTGCAACACATGTTACTAAATACCGTTTAGCCTAGAGAAAAGAAAGCTCCAGGGAGACCTTATAGCAGCCTTCCAGTACTTAAAGGCAAGATGGAGGGGGACTGTTTATCAGGGAGTGTAGTGATAGGATGAGGAGTAACTGATTTAAACTGAAAGGGGGTCGATTTAGATTAGATGTTAGAAAGAAATTCTGTACTGTGAGCATGGTGAGGCAGTGGAACAGGTTGCCCAGAGAGGTTGTGGATGCCCCATCCCTGGAAGTGTCAAGGCCAGGTTGGATGGGGCTTTGGGCAACCTGATCTAGCAGAGGGTGTCCCTGCCCATGGCAGGGGGGTTGGAACTAGATGGTCTTTAAGGTCCCTTCCAACCCAATCATTCTATGATTCTATACATGCAAATCAGTAAGCCATTCCAGATCTACTTGTGAAAGAAGACATCACTGTACTATTTTTCTTATTACTACATGGGAGATGGAACAGGTTTCTGAGTCTTTTTTGTGCAGTTTCTCCTATTTTCCTATATATTTTATGGAGATTAGAAATAAATAATAAATAAATCCAAACACTTGACAGTTTCACAACACTTTTTAACCAAAGATGAGAAGATGTTTTTCCAAAAGAAAGTCAATATAATTAATTCTATCTTTCAGCAAAAGAACTGAGGTACAAAGGACTGAAGATCTGCTTTTCTGAGAAAAAAAAACCACCTCGGTTTCCCTTTGAAATTAATGGAAGCTGCAGGCTTTCTGTTGCTCTGAAAACACAGCTTTACATAAAATTCCCTTCCTGTTGCCGAAACCCAACCTCTCAATCACAACTTAAGTATTCCTCACTTGCATAAAAGAACCTAAAGCCAAGAGCAAGAGACATGAGTCTATGTAGTATCTAGTGAGCAAGAGGAAAATGGCAGTGACATATACTTACTTTTTCTTTGCTTCACTGTCTCCTGGGATTTGCCTTTTCTTTGGGGGTGGCGGTGGAGGCAACTCCTGTCTGGATTGTTTAACCACTACCTGTTCTTTCAATGGCGTTTCTACAGCAGTCTTCTGTGAAACCTGTGACATCCCTACGCTTCCTACAGCTTGAGTTACCTATACAAAATAATTTAGCAGAAGGGTTTAATGCCATTTCTAACACAAACTGAATTGTTTTTGCTTAGTTCGTTTCATTCATTGTTCATAAAAGCCCATTCATTCACTCCTACAAATAACCACATCTAGCCGTCATGAAGCACCTTTATCAGAGATGCACTCCAGAAAAAAACTTCTCATTTTACAGATGCGAACCACACATCAAAATTCTCAGTTCAACTAGAATTTCATGCCAGTCCAAGTGAGATAAAATTAACAAAATATGCATTATATCTATTTTCTTTCATAATTGCTTGGTTCACAAAAAGAACCAAGGTTCTTTGGGTTTATTAACACACAATTCTATATTTTATACTCACACCCTATAAAACCAAGTCTAGATCTCAAAAAGAGCTGATACACAGTGCATCTCACCTAAAAACTCATTCAAGTCAATAGAAACCTTCCGCACTCTTTAACGGGTTATAAAGTAAGTCCCATGGGAATCACCCTGTAAGTTCTTAGTATGTGCTTGATATTTAAGGGGAGTGAAAGGATGAAGACAGGATTTGGCACTCTCCAGTGCTTTGACTCAAACACGAGAACAAATTAAAGCCACATGGCCAAAATGGACCCCTACTCAGACTGCACAACTCAATCACCATACACTAAGTGGATCGTGAATCAGTGCCACAGCCTTCACCATAATAACATTTTAATATCACACAAAAGGGGCATATGAGTCATAAAACTCTCAAATAAAATTCTCACAGAAGCCAACGGGAGTTCTGTCTAAATAAAAACATTACCAAGCACTCAAAATACTAAAATAAACATTTAACAATCCAGCTTGGCTATCATCGTTATATAGCAAACAAACAACTACTTTATTTTCAACAGATGAGAAATCATACTCACAGAGCATAAATGCTTGTATGACTCCCATTTATTTATCTATTCTGGGGTTTGGGGTTTGTCTTTGTTTTCTTTTAGTATCAGACTTAATCCAGTCCCAGCACTCTTACAATGTTTAAAGATATTTGCATTGATTGATAATACATGGTAAGCCTGCTTTACTCATCAGAAAAATGAAGCTTAATCTATGTGAGAAAGGAGTAATAGTGTACTAGTCAGGTTAACAGCTTGGGGTTTTGAAGACCAAAACACGCAGACAGCTTTGTCAGCAGATAAAATCAACCCCACGTGAAAGAGCCCTCACCTACCTCTCTAGCCTGATGCCAAGAACTTGCCTGGGCAATTTTGCTGACAGGATCAATGGGGTTTGCATATATACAGACATCTAAACAGCTAAAAAAGTAATAAAGCCTTTTTAAGTACCTGGTTAGAGTAATCCTCTAGCTTCTGAACCAAACTGTCCCACCTCTGAGTTAGTTCTTCTTGATCCTGATCGATTTTACTGGATGCTCTGCCATTCCCAAGGATTTGGGCCACATCCTGACCTATCTCATTCAGCTGGTCTAGCGTTTGCCGTTTCATACCCATGTCCTCTTTCAAAATCTGAAGTTAAAAGAAAACATTAAAAGGTGACATCAAGTATTCTGCCACCCCTTAGCTTAGGATAAAAAAATGTACTACCTGAGCCAGATGCATCATAGGTTTTAAAAGAGTTCTCTTGCATAACAAAGCACTAACAGATACTCTTAAAAAGAGCACATCCCAGAAACAGCTCCTAGAGCAATCAGCAGTATCTCTTCAGTAACAGTTACAAATGACCAGTTCAGGTACAAGCTGCACCAATATATTAAAAAAACCCCAAAACCCAAACCCCAAAACCAAAGACACAAGCCACAAACCCACACTTTGGAAAACACAGCTGACTGATGGCCTGCAATAAACTCCAAACCTTGTCAAAAACCCAAGATAGCTGTTCCAAAGTCTGGCACACCAACCTGGAATGGCCATGGAGTAAGTTGTACACATTTTTTAAATTCAAGTGAAAGAATCTGGCAAGGATAGAATAATATTGGCCTGGCTTCCAAAATATCATGCATTCACAGCTCCTATTGGGGTCAAACTGGTAATTTGCCATCATTTAGTCTATGAGCTTTGACAGGATAGAGCAGGATAGCAATACTTACTGCTAGTTTTCGAACATTCACACTCAGGTCTGTTTGATCTCTGAAGTTGCTTGTCTGGACCTTACTCAAAGCCTCTTCTTTCTCAGTTAACCAAGCTTTCAATAAGCACTGCAGATCATAAGAAAAACAGCTCAAGAAAATACCAAGTTTATCAAACAGCTGTTGACAATTCCTTCTTTAAGCTCTTTGCATTCAAAGCACAGCTCTGCAGTTTTTATATGCAGGAATTTCAGTTAGCATTAACAAAATGGGACAAAAAAATATCAGCTCAGAGAACTCAGTAATACTGTCCAGCAAAACAGTTTCAATAAAACCATTTCTCAATATATCACAGTGCATCCCTCCAAAGTTATTTATAGTGACCAGATAGCCACCATAAAGCTGACGTAGGACGAATAAATATTAGAAATAAACATATTTCAAAACGGTATGCACACTTGCTTTCATTCTCCACCCTTCTATGATTCAAACCCAGCCATTGCAAACATTTTCTACGGATGCTACACCACTGATAATTCAGAGCTCTTTTACTCCAGGCAGATGGTCAAAGACTAAGCTATTAATTAGTCACCTTCCTGTCTACTGTACCTACTTCCAATTGCAAAATAACCTCAGTACATACTATCTTATTAACTGCTAAAAGCTAGGAGTGGTCTGCTCTGGATAGTACTAACTCAGGGAACTTTTGAACTTCTTCCACTTCTCTCTAGGAAACCTGTCCTGGGTTTCACTTCTCTTCAGTCGCACAGCACTCCTATGGAAACTCCAGCAATAACTGGCATCAAGTATCAGGAAGGATTTTATACATTTTATACTATGTTGCAATGTATTGCTGCTGCTGCACAGCCATCTCCATAGACTAGAATACCCAGAGCTCTCTATCAAGCTCCATTGCATAGCCACTGGCGCACTGCTACTCCTCTGTCTTTAAAAAAACAAAATCAAAAAGCAAGGCAGACCTTTTTGTTCTTTGAACAACACATTTTAACACAGCCATTAGGCTCCTCAGTCTAGCTGTAATTTTTTGGCATTGTCCCCAAACTGACTACAGCAACTTTTGGGCCAAAGGGTTAAGGCAGTTTACGTTGCCAGTGTAAACCAATATGTAAAATGTACAGACAGCAAATACAACGGTGGTGGAAATGCCATAAGGCTGTGAGAAACGAAATTATAACATCACATACTCTCGGAATAATCATACTGGCATCTCAGCCAACATATTTTATGCGTAAGAGGAGCTTAAAAACACTTCAATGTACTCAATTAATTTCTGCTAAATCAGCAGTCAAAGATAACTTTCTCTAGAAAACTGAAACAATTATCACAGTGCTAAGAAATATCTGGCACTGATTGAGGAATTTGTTTCCTGAGTGGTAAGAATTGTGTTGACTTGGCAATGTGGTTTCCAATCATTTTCTCGGCAGCCACAAAAAGGCTGATGCATCACTGTTGCTCACCTCTCCATCTGGTTGGGTGAAACAGAAAATGATAGTACCTAAATGTTTTAGTTACTTTTATGTTAACAAAGTATTTGTATTAAAGTTTTGAACTAGTTTCAAATTGTGATTTTTGTAGGTGACTTGATAATTCTTGAGGACAGAGAACTGTAATTCAACTCTGTTAGTAATAAATTCATTGTTCAGAGTTGAATGATGAATGCAAACAGAGGCTGATCTAAACCACCTAAAATGAACTTCTATTTCTTCATTACTCGCTATCTGACATTCTACATTAAATAAACATCGATTTTTTTTTTCCACTTTTACAGAGCAACATAATTACATACAAATTAAAAAAAACCACAAACCTGAACACAAAGCAACTGCAACAGAAGATGACACTCTTAACAGTATTGCAATAGTCAGTGAGTGGTTACTTTTCCCGAGACAAATATAAGTGTGGAAGAGGCCAAAAACATGTTCAGGTGGGGTCATCAAAACTGAGAGCACTTGAAGTCCATACCTCGGCATACAGAGCAAGGATTTTTGAGGAACCCTTATTTCTCAGAGACTTATCTTGCCCAAGAGTTGCCAGAAAATGTTAGCACACAATTTTCTGTATGTGTGTACGCATACGCCAACACCGTATTTTAAAGGAATATATATAAATAGATACTTGGCATTGGACAAACCAGAATCTGAACCTTGGCTCCCTATTAACAACAAGGTCATGTGAGCTGCAAATTCAGCTTATTAATAGCAAAACATCGCTGTCAAAGAAACCAGGCTGTAACTGATAGCAACAGCTATATCAGCACTGTTCTACTTCTTTCAAATGTCTAAACAATCTGTGTGTACCGCAGAGTTTAAACAATAGCTTCCAGTGATAAATACCATCATTTAAGAAAACAAAACAATTTAAGTAAAACCTTCAAAGGGAAAGCCATCAAATATTTTAAGCTGAGACACAAAACAAGCTCCAGCACTAGTCATGCAAACCTAACACATGTAGTTGTGTAACAATATTTTTATTTATCAATGAATTTGTGTTTTAGCACTGTATTTAATATATACATAAAATGCACAATATCAAAGCAAGAAAAAACTCAGTGCCATCTTCTTCACAATTCAACTGTTTGCCTAAACTCAGTAAAATGAGAGGAGCTGCACTGACCAAATGCTTTATGTTACTGATTTTGAAAACAGTATCTATTCGTTAGTTGGTTACACAATGGTGTACATGTATCCATGTTGGAAGCACATATACCTTAATTAGGAAAATTTCTGTAATTACCAAACCACCAAACACTTAGTGATTCATTGTCATTTTGCTATGATGAATATTCCCACTTCTTGGCCATTTTGCCAGCTACCTTGGAAATTATTTTATAAGGAGTTATAAAACAAACTTACTTAAACTTTGGAAAAATACTTCTCTTACACTGAACAGCTACTCTACTCTTCAAGAAATGCTGGGAACCCAAACAATAACACAAAATCTTGTTTTCAAAGGCATTTTTCTGAGAGCTGTCAAACCCTACTAAGGGGCTTGGGGGTTTTGGGAGGTTTTTTTTGTTTGGTTGGGTTATCCCCTCCACAAATCAACTAGTCATTCTGGGTAACTGAAGAGCTACTAACCTGCTCTTCCAGCAGCTCCTGCCATAAAAGCTGAATTTCTTGCAGCTTGACCCGTCGTTCCTCAGTCCAACGGCAAACTGCTGTCCACCGCTCGCCAAGCCTCTACAAAAGCAGGAACCGCTCATGAACATTCGCAAGCCTCACAAGGAAACTCAAAAATCAGATATTCAAAAGCATAATTTCCACTTCACAGTAACATCTCTCTATGCTATAGCTACCTCCTTCTTAGTAATCACCATTGTTGTATTGCACAAAGCTGGAGGTTTAACTTTCAAGAGCATTCAACTATGGCCTTATCTCTGCTCTTGCTGAAGTCAGTGAGCTGTTTGATTGACTTCAAAAGGAGCAAGCAAAGCAGCATGCATTCTGTTTCAATAAGTTCTGTTTCACATTCCCTATACTTCAGGTTACAGTCTAACTTCTGACAAAAACGGGAAAACACTTCACATGATATTCCCCAGATAACTTTTGCTCATGTCTTTAAATATTTTTCCTGTCAGATTTTAACTTCCTAATGAAAATTACTTATGTGAAATAAGAGTTGCATGGTGCATCTTGCCATTTTAATGAAACTGCTGAAAAGCTACACTACAAAAGTGCCTAAGTCACTGGGAATGCAAACAGCTTGACTCATCAGGAATTGAGCTTGAAAGTCACCAAAGCATTTTTGCAGGTTTTACCCTGAGCAAGTTTAATAATTCTTCATGTTACCATTACTTCTATAAAAATGTCATTTTAAATTACTTTTTTTGGATAAATTGTGTTTAAACACAAAACTGTTGATTAACAATTATATGTAAAGGTTTTGAGGGCCTGCTACTACAGTTAAAAACAAAGAGGGCTTTTACCTGCAATTGTTCCTCCAGAATAGCTGTTGCACTTTCCCCACTGCTTTCATCGACAATGACGACCATGTGTGTTAGGGAGTTTACCTTCACCTGTTCTGTCTCTAGGTCGCTCTGCAGGCTCTAGAACAAATCAGCGGTTACCATATTTGAATACATCTGCTAATCTGCTATTTTGCCCATAATGACTAACACAACTGCTCTGACAACGTATTTCAGATTCAGCATTTAACCATAGATTTTACCACTGAGAATCATTGAACAGTTTAAAGAAATACAAACAAAAGACTGCTAGAAACGAACCCCAAACCATTCAGTTAAAATGCTGGAAAGCATGGAGTGATTTAAGCTGTATGCACCATACTCGACTAGGAGAATCGTATGACAACTGCATCAACTTTCTATATGTCTACTATTATAGGTAAGAGAGCTTAACTGTTTCTATAACAAGCTATTCTTGTTAATAAGCAACTATCATAAGGCACGCCAAACAGGGAAAAATCACTAAGAACATTCTTCTTTTAATAGCTGACAATATAATTCTCATAAGTATTAACATTGCTATAATTGATCATGATGTTCAAAGACAATAGTCGAAAACTGCAGAAAGCAGTCAGTTCCGATTAGTCTAAAACAATCTGTAGATTTAAATATTCATACAACCTCTAGGAGAACAGATTCCATGGTTAAAGCCTACCTCCAAAATATCTCTGCAAGATCAATATGCCTTTACAGTACTGTAAATATCACTTTTCATCCCAGAATATCCTAAGCTACTCCATGAACAACACGCCTCAAAGTCCCCAGATTTTGAAGACAGAGAAAAGAATGCAAATGTGGGACAAGAAATTACACAGGCTAAAAATACCCCGCAGTTCTTGCCCCGTGAGGTATGGCCCATGCTGGGGAGAAGGTCAAACCTCAGCACTGAGTACGAAAACCAAAGCTACAACCATGACAAGTATCAAAAGGCCGTCTTTCTCCTTCAAAAGACGCTGCAGGCTAGAAAGGCTGGACTCCCATCCGGAAACTTAATTGAGAGACAAGCCACTTCCAAAACACTGTGCGCATCAGAGAGCAGTGCCTATGCACCCCCTTAGGGTGCGATCCCTTTAAGAGCAGGGACTGGAATCAGTGGCTTGGGAGGCCCTTCCTGATAGTTTTAACTCCCGCATTATTTTCATCTGCAAGTCTCAAGCATGCTTTAGCAATACCTGCCAATCATTAAAGGCAAGCTTGTCCACAGTACATTTTATACTGTCCCTCACACCAACAATTTACCTGGAGGGGCCTCATTTCCTGCATGAAGTGAGGGCAACAATTTCCCTTACAGGTTTCGCTTCCTGCATGAAGCGATGACAACAGTTTCTGCTATAGTCATCAGTGCTCAAGTGTTCAGTTAAGAAAACACTTCCAGAAACTTCTAATTCCTTTCTACACCATCATTATCCTTTCCCAAACATCAAATGCAGCCCCTCAGCATACAGCCATAGATAACTTCTGACACAGTCAAGTTTCTCAGCTTCTCCCATACACATTACATAACAGACAAAAAGATTTACTTTATGCTCCTCCAGCTGTTTCTGAAGGGACTCCAAATCTTCTGCTAAGAGCTGAGATTCCATCTTCTGAATGCGTTCTTCTGTGACCGTCAGCCAGTCGGAGAGCTGCTGCAACTGCTGCTTCTGGAGCTCCATCAGCATGTCATGCAGGCTGCAGGGGGAAGCACAGGCAGAGTTATTTCAGAAATAGTTTTCCTAAGGAAAGAGACTAAGTTATAGTTCCTATAGGAAAGAAGCAAGGCCATTTCATAAACCAGTTAGCTATCATCAAATAAAGTTTTCACCATTAAGCTAAGATACACAGTTAAGTATCCTTATTTCTTTCTCAACAAAAAAGTTAGTGAATTATGCAATTTATATTAAGGACTGTTTCTTCCAACAGGGATTTGCGGCTAATAGAGCCTCTGCTGAGAGTTGCAGTTTCTCCCTTGATGTGCAGCTCTTAGCTTGATAACTTACAGGCAGGAAAAAAATTCTTCTAAGAGCTTTTTATTTGTGTAAACACACATAGCTAGCCACGTCTACTGTACACTTTATTGAGGAACTTAAACTACTGAAACAATATTAAAAAACACATTTATGTAACTACTGCATGTAGATATTATATATTTAGTCTGGCTATATATTTAGTCTTACTATATATTTAGTATGTAAATTTACATAATACTTTTAAATTTACAAAATACTTTCATGCAAGAACCCAAAAAACCCAGTTATATTCATTTCTTTTGTTTCATCTTGGAAAGTATGAAGAAGGTGGACTTCATGTCACAGACTGAAGAGTTAATTCTGAAAAAAAATAATCTTAGAAATGGATGCAAACCAACTCCTCGGAGATGCAGTAAGCACCAGAGGTCAGTCCTGCAGCTGTAGGAGAGGTTGCGCACCATGACTCACCGGGACTGCCTGTCCATGCTCTCCACCCTGAGATCCTCCCAGCGCGAGTTCAGCAGCAGCATTTGTTCCTGGATCTCAAACTCCTCTTCCGGTGACAGATTTCCCTGAGCCACCAGTTGGTTTCCAGCCTGCAGAACGCTGCCCACACTGCTCTGGTGGGCAGTCAGTTCCATCATAAAACCCTGGAAACAGCACAACCAGCCATGTCACTGGGATCTGTGAGCTCCTACACATTTGGGCATTTGTAAATGCCCTAATAAAGCGTCATGTTTGAAACAGTGCTGCAGAATGAGCTGGCACCATCCAACACACAAGCATGGCAGACTTATTCCTCTCTATGATAGAAGATTCTCCATAAGCTACAAAAATTCTGGAGCCAGTAAGGGAGAAATAATTGAGGAAAAAAAGCTGACCATCTCAGAGAAACAGCTGTTTATAAGAAGACACCCTTTGAACAAATGCACCAAGAAAATAAAACATAAACTTACCTATGACCAACAGAACATAAACCAAGATCTGAAATGTATTGTAGGAAAGCAAATAGAACCCTATGAGTTAATAACATTAAAAATTCATGTATTTACTACAAATGCAGCACCTCTTCCTTTGGTTCAAGGCTTTACAACTGTAGCACAAGGAAAAAAATTCTTCCAATTGATCAGTACTCAGATTTTAAATTCAATTGTATACAGTAAGCTGACACAGGAGAAAACTAAAACATCTAACATGACACTTGAAACTTTTAGCAACATTAGAACATTCATTCAGACAGAACCAAAACAAAATAATTTGGAAACAATAATAATTTGGAAGCAACAACACACTAATAAACTATGCTAATCATGACAGGGAGACCACTGAATTAAATTGACATGATTATCAATTTCAGCATTGCCCTCATTTAACAGCAAGTGACATAAGGCTGACCAGGCTTTTTAGTAGTTGGCAGCAGAGAAGGGCGATTCAGCCTGGATCAGTCTGTCTTTGTATTACAGACACCAGTGAGCCAGCCACCGAAAGCTGATTAAAAAAAAATACATTAAAATTTCAAAGCATGAATGACTAGGAAATAGAAGTTCTACAGTTCACACATACACACGAAAAAAACAGCAAGTGAATTTTCAAGAGAAGCTTACTTCATGGGTCGAAAATTGCTCTTTGACTTCCTCAACATCACCAGATATTTCGTCCTGTTCCCGAAATGCATCCTCAGCTGACAGCAGCCATGTAAGAACTTCTTCTAGAGCAACTTGGTAGCTATCCAAGTCCATATCCACCTCTGTCACTGTGCTGGGAGTCTCTGCTCTAGAACTGCCCTGCTCCTCTTCAAGTGCTACAGCCTAGGAGCCAAGAGAAAAGTGATGTCTTAGAAGTGCACAGAAGCAGCCTTTCCAAATGATACTAAAACCAAAACAACTAAGATCCCTTTTAATTCTTCATAAAATGTTAAAAGGAATCATTTGGTACATTTTAATGAGAAGAGCCAGAGTCACCACTTATGAACTTTCATTTAGAAATAAAGAACCTGGATAGAAAAAATAACTTTAATCTTGCTCATTTAACAGTGGACCTCACACCCAAACAAAAAACCCATCACTACCACCACAAGTCCTGTGGCAAACCCAGTTAAAGATTTTGGGCCACTCTCTCCAGCTTGCCAAGACAAAGGAAATAGAGAAGCAGAAGAAAGAAGCATAACACAGATGGAACTTTTTACCTCAACACACAGGATTTTTTACATGAATCAGAAAAGAAGAAAAAGGAAGATAGAACAACTCAAGTCAATCACAAAGACGATGCTAGGATTTTCGTATTTTCCCAATCATGTTGCCCAAGATACAAGGCATGTTCCAGAGATAACTGACAATCAGCTAAAATTACAACTCAAGAAAAGCCAGACAGATTTTGATGACAAACACACCTGCTGTATGTTGAACTCTCCATCCTCACATTCC